CGTCGTCGTCGTCGTCGTCGTCGTCGTCGTCGTCGTCGTCGTCGTCGCTATTGTCACTGCCATCGTTATCATCATCGTTATCATCATCGTTATCATCATCATCGTCTTCACTATCGTCATTATAATCATCGTCATCATCATCAACGAATTTAGAATGATCTTCGTTTTCGCTTCCAGGCTGCTCTTTGCTTTGCTCTTCCTCGTCACTGGGGTCTTCGTCACTTCTGCTGTCTCCCGTTTCTTCTGCTTCAATGGCAAGTTTTATCACAGCTCGCAATTGGTCTGAACCCGGTGGTAAATGTGGCAGGTCAATCTAGATATATAGATTTAAAGAAAAAGAATCGAATGACTGATAGAAAATTAATGCAAATGTTTTAGACTTAAATTATTTTAACATACAACGACTAACGGTAAAGAATACAACTGGAAAATTATGTATACGATATATGGTACGTATACGAACAAAATTATAGAAATTGCATCTACCATGGATGTACTTTTTTTTCAAACCAAAAAAAGCGTGAAATTAATTCGAACGTAATAAGTCTAATTGTATTCTTTGTAACAAATCTAATTAGCTGACTGAATGTATCACAATAAATACCTCTACTACATTTGTATCATTTATTTGTACGCCTACGTCGTAAAAGGCATTTCTTCCTAATAAACGCATGTATCGATCGTCCACTTTTTGCCAACTATACTCCTGCTCGTTCCATTTATCCGGCTCCATTATCATCGGCCAGCCACCTAAACGCGATAGGGTAGAAACCAGCGGATCGATTCCTTGCTTTTCCATCGCATCTATAAGCATTGGCGAATAATTACGTTGTAGAATGCGACATAAAATGTGCACATTTTTTAATTTCATACTTTAATTAGTACAGGTGCACTCACCTGTATCCATGCAAGCCTTGAACAACTTTTTCGCAAGCTTCACCGTTCTGAGTTCGTTCTCCATAGGTTCGGCCGTTATAATCTCTGCAAAGAACTTAATAATGTTAAGATAATAATGTTAAGATATGCTAAACAAATCTCGAATTTTGAATTTTAGCAAAAGATAGCAGCGTGTAGATAAGTTGATCACCTTTTATTTCTTCATTAGTCTTGTCAAACAGCATCATGCTCATACTCCATTTGGCATATCCTTCTGGAATGGGATTCTGCTCCGGCCACTTTCCGCACGCGTACTCGTAAAAGTCGTCACATGGATCTGCGGATCTATTCATGGCTCCTAATAGCGTATCAGCTAAGATATGTGAAAAAGACGAATAATAACGATTGACGATTTGAATTTTTAGAGCAGTCGAGCTAGTTGTTTAATGAAATGTAAATACCCATTTTCTTGCATTCGTCGGATTCGCATACAGTCCGCTTTTCTTTCTCATTATCACTTAATTTACTTGAGCTGAACAACCATTCCAAATTCGAAGGATATCCATGAATTTTTGACAGCGTTACGTTTCTTATTAGAAACGTGCCGATAAAGGCGCTTCAAAGATAAAAAAATATATCGATTAATATATTAATATGTATATTGTATATAATAATTATTAAATATGTAATATATTACAATTATTGCAATATATGCAATATACAATTAATATATATTTTTTTATTTTAAATTGTGCCTTAAAATATTCCTATTTATGCGCATAAGAAGGGATTATTATGCGTATAAGATTCTGGATTTACCCTCTAAAGAATCATCAAGACATAAGAATATAAATATACATAAATGTATTGTAATTATTTCTTAATTATATTTAATTTCGAATTGCATTATTAAACGTGTACGTGATTTTGCCTTTCTGTCCAAGATAATTGGATAAGAGATTAGACGAAGATGGAAGTGTCTTTCGATATCCGAAAAAAGAAGGGGCGAATTTACAACAGAAATATTTTAAAGCGCTGCAGTTTAAATTAATAACTAAGTTAAAGTTATTAAAGTAAGAATATATAGTTATAACTTCTAATGGCAGTAGTAATTAATATCCATAATAGCGTAATAACAGCGTGCTTACAAAGTGATTATATAATTATACAAATTGTAATTAAAACTAATGTAATTGTAATTAATATCTTAGGTAATATCATGCTTAAAAGCGATTGTTACTTAAGTTACGTACAGAAGAATGAGTCGCTTCATGTCAGAAATAACTTGTGGGCCGATATAAATTTCAGTGATACCGTACAGTAAATGTTTCGCAACGTTCTCTGTTACAATGTGAAATTATTTGTCGGCGGCTTACTCTTTTATATGTTATTATATGAGCGGAAAAACTTGAGAATGCAAACATATCAAAACTGATAAGCCGAAGGTCGGAGATACATTTTTCTCGTCCTGTTGATTTAAATAATTTATGCGATAGCTCGCACACGCACTTTTTCTTCGGAAGAAATTATTAGTTAGAAATTATTTTTCGCGTTTTTCTTCTTTCAAACATTTATTTCAATTAATAATGGACTCTCGAAATTCAAAAATAAGAAAAGAAAGGGCTATCAGGGATACAAAGATATTTTTCAGATATCAATCATTTGGTCGATGTTTCCGACAATTCTAATCGGTAAACTTGCCATTTGGCATTTAGAACGTGTGACACATTATTGTTATTGCTGAGGATGACTCGAATGGAGCCGAAACGTTCGGACTACTGTATTTAGAAGAATAAATCTAATGATTAACATCACGCACCAAAACATTTATTTATATTAGAAAATACTGCTTGACAATTTCTATTTCAAATTTCAAAGTATATGCCGAAGAAATACTTTTTACAATGTATAAATGATAACTAATAAAAGCAACAATAAAACGAGATATTAAAATCAAATAAGGTCACTTATTGATAAATTATCCTACGCGTTGTTGGGCGAGCGGATTTCCAACAAGGACATGTGATTGTTGCTTATTGCTACATTCCAGAGAAAAAGTTTTTTATATATAATTATATATAAAATATAAAAAGAAATTCAGTTTTAGTTTATGTATATTTTATTTCTCATGTATAATCTCTGTTCGTAAGAAAAATAATAAAGAAGGGAAAAATATTAAAAAATTACGTTTGCATTTTTTTACAAAAATTCAAATTATGATTAGATTATACAATATTCTATATACAATACATAACCATATTGTATATAAGATTATTACATTTACCTATATATGATTATGGGCAATTTTTCTCATTTCCTGAAATTTCAACATTTTGTAAAAAAAATAATGCAAAAATTATCCTTTTAATTATTTTTTAATTTTTCTTATATTTGTCTTACATATGCAAACACATATCATACAAGAAAAAGAAAATATTATGTATACGGACATATTTTATATATAATTATATATAAAAAATTATTTTTTGGGTTATTATTTGATTTTCTATCCCACGCATATTGAGCGAATTTTACAACAAAGATATGTATATTTCCATATTTCCTGAAGAAGAATATAATTCAAATAATCATATGTTACATAACAAATTATGTTAAATATATAATAGGAGAGACCGGGGCTAGAGAAGTCACACGGGTAAGTTGTCACAAAGCTTATATCTCACTTAATAGATTGAATGGAATATTCTTCTTTATAGTGTAGGTTGTTCCTGTCATGTTAGTCGGATGTACGAATAGCTTGTTTCAAAAACATCGCATGTGATATTTGCGAGCACTTTTTAAAAACTGGAGGTTGTGAGTAAATTTTTCTTGTCTCTATTTTTATTGTTTCGTTGATTTTTGGAATTACTTGTCGAAATTTCTTTTTGGTCATAAGAAATATTATAGTTTTAGATAATTTTTCCTGTATTTAGTTAACTGTCATTGAAACATAGTTTATAAATATAATCTTCTTTGTTCAAAAGGAAGTTTATGAAAGTATTACAAAATTTATGAAAATTATTATTCTTTCATTTACTTTCTAAGTTTATGAAAATTATATTACAAATATATACAAGTCTAATATTTTTTTTCTTAGACCTAAAGAATGTAGCTACATTATAAAGTAGTATACGATATTATAAAATATTGCTAACATTTTTTTTTAAATCAATATTTGAAAAGTGTGACAACTAGCTCCGGTCTCCTCTATTCTAAATATCCACTGTTAACTAATTTTTATCCTATGGTAGGATCGAATAATCACACATGGTTGAGTTGGGTACAATATTCAGAAGTTAGAAAATTGTCAAAAGAAATGTTTACAGACATCCGTTATATTTTATTTATCAATACATGAATAATTTCTGTGAGTAAGTACTTCTATGAAAGATTCTTTGCAAGATATTTTTGGATTATTTCCAGATATTGCACTTCTTTTCGGGATTCATCGGACTGCCAACGGGGCAATTGAAAGCTTTAGCGAAGTCATCTGAATTTGATACGGAACCTATAATTCTCAGTCGCGCAACGCTATGCTCATCTTCCATGGCGGTAGCCATTAATGCACTTGGGTCGGCGACCGCTTCGCACCATAACTGTAAACATTTTAAATTAATTAAAGCGCAAAAATATCATTAATTATTATGTTCATAATCTTGAATTATAGTTCCCTTAATGCCTGTAATACTCACACTGGCAAAAGATAAAAAGAGCAGTTGATTGTTGGTAAAATCTTTCATACCCGGCAACGTGGCGTCCGGTGTTTTGCTCTCTTTCTCCTTGCGTTCATAAGCTTTAAATATCGCCTGTAATCCCATTGTGTCCGCGATGTTGTCGCTCGTCGTCTGCTTGCCATAATCCTGTAATTTCAATCAGTAAAAAATGACCAACAAAATTTTAGTAAAATAACAATGATTTGATCAGTGATCAATAAATGAACGACCAAGTTAATCTTCAGCGAAATAAAGATAATTAAAATATACAGCGAGCAATATACCTCTATTTTTCTATTTGTATTTTTATCAATGGGATATTTATTAAACTGCTCCACGAAACAATCCTGCCTTTTGTTATAATACTCGCCGGCCATTGCTGATAACCATCCCAGGCGCTCACCGTTTTTATCGTACAAGTGTCCTAAAAATTATTTCTATATATTTTTTTTCTTTTTTATCAAATATTCTCAAAGAGCGTCAAAAGTTAAATAATCAATTATTATATTATCACAATAACTGTAGCTACATTATAGTATAACAAGCAAGCATAGAGCTTATCAGCTTAATATAGCAGTGCTATTTTCTAACGTACCTTGATTATCAAATCCGTGATTAACCTCGTGAGCTATGACGAATCCAATAATACCAAAATTAACGAATCTATAGAAAAATAGTTATTAGAAAAAATTCTATTAAGGTTTATTTATTGACATTAACATGAGATTGAATATAAAATAATAAATTTCATTAGTAGGATACATATTTTACTGTACGTCCAGTTTTAATCAAGATCATTAATTTACCGTGGTCGATCGTAAGAGAACCATGGGGTCTGAAAATCCGCTGCCGTGACAACTGTTGAAAACATTAGTTTTTAGGTAAATAATTACAGTAATAAAATTAATTTTTAAGTATGTTATTTCACTAAACAAGGAAACATATTACGTACACATGGCATTCCAGAAGGACGCGTAAAAGGCATTCACTTGAGCCGGATTTAACTCTTGTCTGTAATTTTATTAAATTTAATTTTTTGTTAAATTAGTAAAGTGTGTCATATATATAAAGATTATTTAACTAGTTAAATATATTAAATAATAAATTGCTATCTCACTCTTCTTCGACTTCGTTAATATTTTTCGATAACTTCCGTAGACTCTTCCATTTGTCGAATTTGTTGTATCGAAGAGTATTTTCATAATGTGACGAGCCGATAATGAGCTTTAATGGAATAATTTTACATAAGGCGGTTGTCATGTAATAGCAGTTAATATTAAATATCATAATTTTTTAAAACTCACTCCTTCGTAATACTCTTGAATAACCGTGGTATTTTTATACCATTTCGGATATCCGATAAATTTTTTCAAATTCTTTACTTTTGCTAAAGCAAATTCCTTAGCTTTGTCATCCATCCAATCTGATTCTTTAATCAGGTATTCGACTGCCTTTTGTACATCGCTGAGTAAATTTGATGCCTATGATATAGAAGTGAATATGTGAAGCGATTTGGGCAAATTTATCAGCACAGAGACAAGATTGTGGGGAAAAGACAAATAAAATAAAACTTACTGTTTCGAGGAGATCATCGGAGAAATATTTTCTTACAAATTCGTACGCTAGAATTTCTTTTATCTCTGCTGATTCCATGCAAGTAGACATTCTATCGCTGCATTTTAATGTAATTGAATCAGATTTTAAATTAGTAATACTTTAGCAATAAATAATAAATTATAATATAAAGGAGAATTATTTGTTTAAAAATATATCAGACCTCGGCTCTGTGCCCTTCGCAGCTGTCTCCCAGAAATCGTACAACGCTCTCATTTTACTCGTGGTAGTTTTTATTATTCTGCTTATGAAGTTCCAGTGTATATAATTAACTGAAACGTATTTCTTATGTACCAATGACTATTACGTTTTGTATTATTATCATTCCATTTTTGAAACTTACCGATTGTTCGACTCGACGTTTCATCCAGCAAGGAGACAAGATTTGTAATGTAACTTGGCTTAATAATGTCTAGATTTAAATTGTCATCTACGGACTCGTTCGCCTCATCAAACAACGCCTTTATTTCCTTCACCCAGTCAATCTACATCCGAGAAAAATTTTTTATATATAATTATACATGAAACATGTGTAATATACAAAATATGTGTTTTCTTTCTTTTATATAATTTCTGTTTTATATGTATCAGAAAAATAATTAGAAAAACTTTTATAATTTTTTTACAAAAAGTAAAATTGTGATCAGATTAGGGGAGACCGGGGCTATCTGTCTACGGGGGCTATGTGTCCACACTGTCCACAGTACTGCTATCTTAAGTTTTAAGAGACAGGTGTCTTTACCATTGTAACAAGCAGTTGAAAAATGCCCTACGTAAGATATTTAAATGTTATTTGTTTTCTTGCAATGCCTCTCGCAGACGTTATATACGTTAAAAGAAAAGCGAAAACAATTTTATTAACATTTTTTGATGGTCGAAAAATTTGCTGTGCGACAGTAGTTTAACTCAAATTAAAGTAAGCAGTTCGTAATATTATCAATTAATATATAGTTATCAGGTGTGAGAAACGTCAAATCTTAATTCCGCATTATCTAAAATTGGCAACATGTTAAAGACTGAAAAACGTGGTCGGGATCTATCTGTCCTATTTTTGATGGGGCAATGTGTCCACACTTCAATGATGAATTGTTCTTTCATAAATAGATAATGGTGCGTAACTA